CCCAAGGAGGAGAGGATTCACCCTTCGTCGTTGCTCGTCGAGTTGCACAAATGTGTGGGTGTGGCTTCGAACAACCTGGGGTACAGCATGCATATCACATTCCTAACCATAACAAAGACGAAGTAACAAAAATAAATTTTATATGAAAACGGGTCAAACCGGTTTTCTAAAAACTGGTTTACTAAACTGATTTTCTGAATTCATTCCAACGCTTCTAACCAAACAAAAAGAATAAATATATATTTATGTTTATAATGAAAACGGCTTTTCGTAAAGCCAACAATAAAATTTTCTAGAATAACCCTTCAACCCAAAAAGACAAAAGAAAAAAAACATTACAATGAAAAGACTTTAGTAAAGCGAAAAAATAAATTAATTACACAAAACAATATAGCAAAAAAAAAATTTACATGAAACAACTTTGTGAAGACGAAAATACATTTTTATTCACATTTTCTAAATCAAACAAGACAAAGAAAAAATGAAAAATGTACAATGACAAGGCTTCCAGTAAAGCCAATAAATGAACATGATTGGCTTATAATATCTACAATGAATATGATTTTTGAAATTATATATATGAACAATAGCTATGGTAAACATTAATATATGAAAAGGAGGTTTTTTTTCATATTATTAATTTATGATTACACATTCTAAACAAAACAAAAGAAAAAAAAAACATATTTTAAACATGATGATTGCATTACGTAAAGCCCAAGTAAGCTAAGATATACAGTGTAAATATATTTTTTAAAATATGTTTTATGTTTTCTTTTTTTGTTTTACATCTTCAAAATAGCGTTTTATTCAACAAAGTTTATGTTAAAAACGTTGTGGAAAAAAAAAATTTTCTGTTTTATAATCGGCTATTAGAAATTAGCGTTTTTTTGGACAAAAATTTGAACTGAAATCGCTCATTTATGAATAGCGTTTTTTTCCTGGCAAAATTTTTTTTATTAAAATCGCAATTATAAATAGCGTTTTTTTGGCAAATTTTTTTTTGTTAAAATCGCTATTATCAATAGCGTTTTTTTGACAACAAAATTTTGTGTGAAAAGCGCTGTTAAGAACAGCGTTTTTTATTGGGAAAAAAAGTAACACTATAAGCGCTATTCGTAACAGCAACTTATTAATCAAAGTCGCTATTTGTAATAGCGATTTTTCTGTTCATGTACCTTCGCGCTCCTAACAGTAAAAGCGCGAATAGTAATGACGCTTTAGCTTAGTTTTGGAATTCCGTCAGAAGTTGGCATAGTTTTGGAAATAGAATGTAAAAACGGCTTATATTGGGAAAAGACCCTATATTTCATGCCTACTTAACACACTACAACAAAATACATTTTTTGGCAACTAAAATTTGCGACTAAAACAAATTTAGGTGAAGTTTAGAAAGAAGGTTTGTCGGCTTTTTTGGTTATTTTAGTCACAAAAGGCAAAATAGGCTATTTTAGCCACAACCAACAAAACATCACATCCAACCCATAATCATTATACTTTACTTTCACAAAAAAAGTCAAAAAAGCCAAAAAGTCAAAAAGTCCTTCCCAAACCAAGCTTTTTAGCCCAGGCTAAAATAGCCAAAAAAGCCAAAAAACCAACCCACTTTCCAAACCAACCCTTAGTCGCCAAAAGTTTTGGAATTGGAGACTAAAACTGTTTTTTGGTCTCCAAAAGTATAATATTTAGCTACTAAATTTTTTTAGTCGGAATATATTGATTATTGGTGACTAAAAAATAATTTAGTCGCTAAAAATACTAGACTTCGTGACAAAAAAATTTTTAGTTGCCGTATATTGAGTTTTGGCTATTAAAATATTTAGTCGCCGAATGTAAAATTAAAAATTTATTTTTTATCTTTGACGATCAAAAGTTTAGTTGCCAAAACATATTTTTAGTGACCAAAAATTAGTTTAGTCGCTGTATATTAAGTATTGGCTCCTAAAATATTTAGTCACCAAATGTAAAATTAAAAAAAAAAAAACCATCTTTCGTGACCAAAAGTTTAGTCGCCAAAACATATTTTCAACGACCAAAAATTAGTTTAGTCGCCAAAAAATAAAAAATCAGAGGGAGACATTTCAAATTTAAATTTGAGGGATTTATAAAAGTAATTGGCGACTAAAAAATTTATTCGCTAATGGTGAAATATATATATATATATATATATTTGGTTTCCAAAATTTTGCCAGTGCCTCTGTCTGTCTCTCTCTTCAGCGTCTCTCTATCTCTCCGGTGCTCCTCTCCCTTCCCTCGTGGTTGCCGGGAACCTGAGCATCGATTCCTACTCCTTTTGGTCACCGTCACCTGAGATCCATGATGAGTTCATGAACACTGATTCAGAGCCAAGATCTAGAACAACTCCGAGCCAAGATCGAAGATCTCAACTCCAAAGTCTCCTTCCTCAGATTCTAGACTCCCTTCGATGATTACCACCATCGCTCTACTCCTTGCTTCTCCGACATCGTTTTAGTCGGTTCCAATGACCATTCCGGTAAACCCGCGTCTAACCCCATTCCCGTCTCTGCCCATAAGGCTGTTCTAGTGAGTACCCATTTCGATTTTTAACTTTCTCTGTGTGTTTTTATTGTGTATTGAATGTGTTTGATATGTGGATTGTGTGGACAAACTCTGAAATGGGTAGTGATGATAAACTCTGAATTTGGATCATTGGTTTAGGTGATTGTTTGTTTGATATGTGGATTGTTAAATTTTTTGCCCACCAAGTATTTGACTTGAGTATGCTCAAGTGACAAGTTTATCAGAAACAATTGGAACATGGTCACCAAGTGTTTGAATTTTTAGAAATGAAAATTGGTTTAGGGTTTAGGATTTGGCTTGTTTCCTGAAATCAACTTTTGATAGGAAAACCCTCCAGATTCATGGCACTTAAAAGTGTCTAACCAGTGTAACATATCAAAGATGCAATCACAAGATGGATTCCATGATATGATATGAAAAGGATGAAAAGCATGATACGACTTGGATTTTGAAATCCTCTGTGTTCTTGTATTCCAAATGGACATTTGTTTATTAGACGGTTTCACTTGCACTGGTGGCAACTGAGACACAACTACTGATATTTGTAAATGAGCACTCCTGTTGTTGTTTTTTTGTCTAATTAATCGTTACACTTCATTGCAAAGTCACCTCGTAACACTTTAACCACTTCAAAATAAATTAAAATAAAAATAAAATAAAAAGGTGAGCAAAAATGCTTAGAGGTAAACTCATTTCATGCATTTTTCTTTTTATTGTTTTGATAACCAAAATCATGTCAGGCTTCTTGATACCTGCTTCTTTCTTTATCTTGCAAAGATCATGATCGCCCTTAGAGTAAGGCGGGACAAGCTGATGCTATTGAAGTTTCACACAAGCTCCAGCAGTTGGGTTGGATTCCTGAGCTTATTTTGTCCAGGTTAGGATTCTCTAGAAATACTTGCACAGTACTGATGACCCCATAAGGTTAGATTGACTTGTGTACAATGAGTGAATAGTTCATCATTGGATCGAAAATTCTCTACTGGTGTCTTGGTGTAGTGATGCAGTGCGAACAAAGGAAACACTTAAAACTATGCAAGAACAAGTGCGAGGATTTTTGGAAGCTGAGGTACATTTCATTTCAAGTTTTTATTCAATTGCAGCAATGAAAGGACAGACAGCTGAGCACCTTCAACATTGCATCCTGTAATTTTCAAAAGGGACGAGAATACTTACAGTTATGTGAGTTCTGCTGACTGTAACAGCTTGTTTGGAGTTCCATTTAATAGGTGAGGTATTTGTGTGTATTAAGGGTGCAATCTTGATGGCAAATGGAAAAGAACTCTTGGTGTGTTTTACATAGTATGTCAAATGAATCACTGAACTTGTATAGTTTTTGTAATTAGTCTACTTAGCTGTGATTTTTAAATTTTTATTTAAATTGACATTTCGCATATATGGTTTCATTTTTTTCAATAGCAACTATCATCTCCATGGGACCTTTGATGAGCCTTGTCATGTCTTGACAATAGATCTTTTCAATAACATATCTAATTATTTTTAGTTTTAGAATGTACTTGTGCAGGAAGCAAGTAGGACTAATACAGGTGTAGATACTTATTCTCACGTTGTTTTTCCTTTGTTTTTTTCTTATCTCTGTCTTGTTAGTTTTTTTTCTCACATAATTTATATAAGAAATATATAAAAAAGTTCATTAAGAATTGTAGAAATTAAATGTATAAAGAGAAATGATTGTATTATTGATTGTTTATTGAATGTTACAATGATTCCTATATATAGAAGAGTAGGTGGTGTAGTGGTAGATGGAGTAGGTAAAGTGGAGGTGTAGGTGGAGTAAGTGAAGTGGAGGTGTGTGGTGTAGTGGGTTAGGTTTAGTGGAGTAAGGTGAGGTGGTAGTGTGTAGTGGTTAGGTTTAGTGGGTGAAGTAGTGATAGGTTTTAACAGCACCCCGCAAACTCAGGGGGAAGGACTAACCACTTGAGTTTGGAAGAGAGTAACAAAACAGAAAATACATAAAATAAGAGGATAGGAGACACTGTAATGGTCGTGTCAGACGATGGTGAAGACACTGTATGGTGGTGTCATAATGTTGTAGGACACTGGATGATTGTGTCAGACCGATGTAGAAGACAGTTTATGGGGTCATGTCGGACCGTTGTAGCAGACAATGTTGTGACAGTTGTTGTGACAGTTTACGGAGTCTTGCTGACCCCTTGTAGAAACTAACCGGAATCAATGTCGGGACAGTTTACAGAGTCTTGTCGAACCATGCAAGGAGCTAACCGGAATCAAGTCGGACAGTTTACAGAGTCTTGTCGACCCATAAAGGAGCATAACCGGAATCAATGTCGGGACAGTTTACAGAGTCTTGTCGGACCCTGAAGGAGCTAACCGGAATCAATGTCGGGACAGTTTACAGAGTCTTGTCGGACCCCTAAAAAGTCGCACCCTCAAAAAGTGTGCCCAATCTTCAAAAGGCGTGCCATCAAAGGCGTGCCCAATCCATAAAAAGGCGTGCCATCAAAAAGGCGCGCCCAATCCTAAAAATGTGTGCGGACATTATGGCGAGGCGCGTGACTACCTTGGCTGCGCGCCCGTTTTTGTCCGTCTGGCGTCAAGTGGCGCGCGAGGCGCGTATCTGCCCTGGCTATTTAAACCAAGGTTGAGGCGGAGGCTGTGCAAACCAGTCTGAAACCGCTGAACATTGGCATTCTGAAACACTCTGTAAACACTCTGTAACCAACCCGTTTCTGAAACACTCAGCAACCCATAACATGGCCTCTTCTTCCCGTCCAGCTACCCAGAACATGGCCTCTTCTTCCCTGGTCTGCTTACTCTCTTTCCCGACCTCAACGAGTCACAATAGAGATAACCGGTGCGGTTGCCTTGAACCTCAACCAAACGCCCCTAGAGTTGCTCCGTTGACCTTTCCTATGCGGTCTGTGGAGCAAAGAATGCAGCGCAATCAGATATTGAGGCGAATCAGTATACATTGAAGTCATGTGTTGGAAACCATGACTGCGGTCACAAACTTGTCGCACCGGCTGCAGAGTAGGACAAATGAGGTGGCAGCAGTTAACGCCCAACTGGCTCTGCTTCCAGCGCTGATAAGAATGCGCGGAGCAGAGAATAGAGTGTGCTAAAGGCGGAAATAAGGAGCTGAGCGGAAGGCCACCGTTATGTTCCGATTTGGAGGTCCGCCATAATGCTGCAGTGGAGGAGCAGGGTGGAGTGATCATGCCCAGTGGAGTGGGAAACACGAAGGCAACACCGTCAAGGGCCGCCCAGGACGGAGGCAAGAAGAAAAAGACCGGCGGAATAGGCGAAGAGTGAGGTCGGTGGGTGGCCGTCTGCAGAAAAGAAAACAAACCTTTTTGGTGTTGTGTTTTGGTTTGTTTGTTGTTGTTGTTTTTTTGTTGTTTTTTTTTTTTTTTTTTTTTTTTTTTTGTGTGTGTAAAATTGTGATCTGGGTTAATCCTTGAGATGAATAAATTATGGTTTGGTGTGCAAAGCTATATGGTATGAATGGAATTTGAAAAAGATAAAAATAATGTGAAAGAAAAATAAAGAAGAAAATAATAAAAATATATTTGAAATCAAAATGAAAGATGGGGAATAAGGAAAGTGGTTTGGAGAAATAAAAAAAAATAATGGATTTTGATCAAACGAGGAGAGAGGGGATCAAGCCCATGTGAGGGAAAGAGGGGTTTAAAGAAAGTGAGGGAGTGGGTTGATTAAAAAAAAGGATTGTGGGTTTGAAAGTGGAAAGATGAGAGAGAGAGAGAGAGAGAGAGAGTGAATTTGTTTGCTTTAACAAGATTGACAACTTGGGCACAAGTCTTCCACTGTGAGAATAAACCATAAGTTCTTCTAAACATCTCCCGAGAGACCACCATATTGTTTAACAGAAAATGCCACATAGAACTAACACGTAGAATGCCACATGATGCCACAAAGAAGAAACACACAACTGGTTTCCAAGAGAAACAAATTAGTTGCACTGGTTGATTTTTCATTCCTTCTGTTGACTTGTCAGTTCACAGGAATTCCTTTGCAGTAACAATTTCCTTGGGGAGCATCTGGACCTAACCTAATAAAAGAATCACCGTACAATCAGAATAGCAGGATAAAGGGACAAATGTGTTGCTATGACCCATCCAAAAGCTGCCAATGGAATTTGTCGTGTACAAGCTCCATAAAAAGTGACAGTATGATGACCAAATTTTCAATTGGAGAAGTAGACAAACCACACAACTGACTATGGTAAAGGATTCCATAAGTACAACCAGAGCACCATATCCCAGATGAAAGAATTCTGAATTTTCCCAAACAGTCCCAACAAGGCCTAGTGATTTTCAAGTCTTTAGAAATGCCTTTTTGAAGATTCAGGCCAGTGAGGGCGAATAAGCAATGCAGGTGACAAATCTGCATAGGGAGCACATCGAAGGACTGTTTCCACCAGTAACGCTTTCAGCCAGGCAGCGAGGGAGTGAGAGGAGTGGAGACTTTGGGACGAGGAGGAATGTCTTGTGTTCTTATATCTGAACCATACAGGGCGGCAAACCAAGACGTCTAGAACAGGTTCGGCGGCAGCACATGTAGCTCGCAATGAGCAGTGAATGAGAAGGATGATGGATCGGACCAACGACGTATTGGGTAGGCGTCGTGGTCAAGCGAGTCACGGCTGACAAGAACGAGCAATATGCTAGGTGCTGGACATGAAGCATGCAAACCATGCGAGTTGGGGAAGGGTCGGCGACGGTGCCCGAGTTGCAGCAAGCAATCTGTAATCTGCATGTAGGCCGAAATGAAACACTGGTTGCGGAGAGCTTGGCGTCAATTCGCGGCTGCAGTGGTTTGAGTGGCTGCATGTGGTTTGGAGGTTTTGGTAGGTTTTAAATTGGTTTGAGGTCTGGCGGGTCGGTTAAGGCAAAGTTGCCGCCCGCTCAGAAGGCGAAGAGCACCAAGAGCTTAAACCTTGCTCTGATACCATGTAGAAATTTAATGTATAAGGAAATATTGTATTATTGATTGAATTTATTGAATGTTACAATGATTCCTATATATAGAGAGTAGGTGGTAGTAGGTGGTAGATGGAGTAGGTAAAGTGGAGGTGGTCAGGTGGAGTAGGTGAAGTGGAGGTGGTAGTGGTTGTAGTGGGTTAGGTTTTAGTGGAGTAGGTGAGGTGGGTAGTGGTGTAGTGGGTTTACGTTAGTTGGGTGAAAGTGGTGATATGACAGAAAGTTAATGTACACGGTGTAGTGGGACATAACAGAGGATTGGGAGGAGCAAACCTCAATGTCTCGTCTCAAGGCACCCTCCATAGAGCTGAAGACTTGCAATGCTGCTTTGCTTGAGCTACTGGGGAAAATCGTGGGAAGAAGGTTTAAGCTCATATTTCATGGCAATTTGTTTTTGACCTATGACATATGCATATGTCATTTATCAGTGTGATTTGAACATGTGCTGGCACTTTTTTAGAAATCTATTCTATTGTTTCAATTTTATATGGAGAAATTTGGAGAAAATAAATTTGTAATCTAGGGATTCCGAGTTAACAATGCAGCCAAGAGTTTTTACACTGTTTGGACATTTATTTGATTCATAATAACTCTAATCTTAACGTCAGCAAAGAATTTCAGTAGATACAAACACGGTAGAATTTGTGTCAATCCACTAAAAGTAGGGGGTGCCTGCCCCAAGGAACATGGAATCCGTCTTGCGATTGCATCTTGATATGTTACAAACTGGTTAGACACTTTTAAAGTGCCATGAATCTGGAGGGTTTTTCCTATCAAAAGTTGATTTCAGGAAACAATTTGGATCATTGGTTTAGGGTTTTAGGATTTTGCCATGTTAAATTGAATTTTTTGCCCCCGATATTTCTGCTTTATAAATTTGTAACAAAAACTATAAACAAAACACTCTTGATACAAATTTTTTAGAAATGAAAAAAAAGAAAAT